AGTAAGATTATTGTGTCATATCTACAGGCCACATCTGATCCCGTTTCACTTTGAATACCCTGTCAAACAAGTCAGCCTTCGCCCCTGTATCTCACTCTCCTCACCATCACCATGCGATACTTATAGCGTGGTGGGGACATAATCATTAATTAAGTAATAACCCGTTTAAATAACCCCTGTGATTGTGATATTAAATATAATATTGTTCTAGTGGTACGACATCAGATCTAAAGTCCATTACCAATAAATCATAAATGGCGTCATGGTCTAGTATTTAGGCGTCCGGACTCTAAATCGTAAGGACGTGGGTTCGATTCTCATCAGGGGCATGGCCGCGGCGCTATGTCCTTGGGAAAGGCACTTTACATTAATTTTCTTCACCTCACCCAGGTGGGAGTGGGTACCCAGCTATAAATAGAGAACTATCTTGTCAGTTTCTGAGTTTGCTAGTGTTTTAGTGCATGTAATCCGCAGCTTGCACTTTATCTCTCTGGGAAGCCAAGCATGTTTCTGAATCGTATTCAAGGGTCAGCTGGAGTAATAATTATAAAGCGCATAGAGCATGGATATGCGCTAGGTCTATATATGCAATCACACTGTTTTATGATTATTATTAGTATAAGAATATGACACTACCACCTAATATGTATTCTATTCCTTCGCGAGTTTGGTCTTTTCAGAAGTCACAGGTGAAGTGCAACCTGTAGGCGGGACTAGCAGTATGTGATGGTGAGTCGATGATGGTAGGCTACCATACTGCTTCAGATATCCTGATTTAACGGTCACTAACAACACTCTAAAGTTGACCATGAGATTGAACTTCTGACCAAAAGTCCTCCTCTAAACGAACACTTAGAAAGAAAGTTAAAAGGCCTAGAAAATACCAGTATCAAAACATTATAATCGTAGCAAAGATGAAACCAGCTAAGCTGGCAGTATCCTGTCAATCTGTCATACAACACGGTTTCACTGCACTTACAAGCACAAGAAAGGAAAAAAAGAGTATTGGAAGTAAATGTTCAGATACAGTAAAACATTCCGAGAGCTTTTATTCTGTAATCTGTTTCCTAGTTTGCGAACAACATTCTTACAAATAAGCTCCTGCCAGAGATGTTTGCCAAGGAAAAAAAAAGGTTTACGAAACAAACAATCAACGCAAATACCACCCACTGTGTCCCCAGTTAAACCAACTGTTAATAGTATGATATTTCTGTCGCACGACGAGGCTATGCAAAGCAATACATATTATCTGTGAAAACAGTAGGAAGCAATCAGAATCTTTTGCATCAGGACTTGGTGGGGAGAGGCTTTGATTGTAAATGTTTTATGTCCCCATCAATACAGTCACAATTAACTGGAGCCGAGGTAAAATATGCCCCAGCGGAAAGATGGAGACACTCAAACTCAATATAAGACATTTCCCCTATTTGGGAATAAAACTCGTGTCTTTTAAACACAAAGAGAAAATCTGACCATTTAACCACCACCAATGCCTGCAGTCAAACAATCCCCAAGGGTAAACTTTCACAACATTGAGCTTGAGGCCTCTTTTTCGAAAGTAATTTTGTTAGTTGGAAGAATACCGATTCTGACTTTTTTCCAGGGATCAAACTCTTGAACTCTGTCACACAATCAGTGACTGATACTGAGTGCAAAGTTAAATACAGCATCAACAATTAGTATCTTTTTAAAAATCAATCTAACACAATAAAACCCTGATTACACAAACTTCAAAAGGGGATCATGCAATGCACAGAATAAAGATGAGGGGGCGTGGGGGAACCAGGCTTTTGAAATCCTTTTGAGGAGACAGGAATTTTGTTTTAAATAAAATCTACTGTAATGCATAAGTTCCTAAATGACCAAAAACTTTGGACTCTATAACTATAACAAACATAACAACTACATATATTCATCCTTCACACAACTGTCTTTATTGACATCGAAACAGAATACCCTACTGTATTTCCTACAGCTGGCACATTTGACATACTAAGTAAAAACAAAACAGTTTCATTATCACACGAAAGGGAAACACACTACAACCATTGAGCTATCAATGAAGTTGCTTGTCTGGGTTTCTTCTTTCCCAGATAAGGCGATGTTTTTGTTTCATGAAAGCTTCAATGGAGCCGCGGTGAGTCCTGATGTCTCCATCTGTGAAGAAAAAGACAGGACGAATTCAAGTTTCAAGATTTTTAAAAGGACAGTTAAAATAAAGACAAAATAAGAACATGAAATCAGAGAAAGTATAAAGAATATGCCAAAATCCCTTGGACCACCAGTCCATTTCAATGTACAGGTGGCTGAAGCACTCTGTGGTTCAGTTTGCTTCTTTTCAGTATAGTTAGATTTATTTCACAGATCAGGTCCTGGAATAGTGAGACTGCTACTGTGCCAGGTCACTAAATATATTTTTCCAATTCCCCATCTTATAGTCAAATGGGGAGCTAACAAAAAGGCAAATGGTGGGCACACACATGAGCTGCTTTTATCTGTGACCCACAATCATGTAGTGTCCACCACGTCATAGATTCTTTAAACATGGCAGGGGCCAAAAAATAAAGCTGACTAGGGTATATGCTTAACCCTATCCGTATGTCGTGTTTTACTATCGTATCCATACGACATGGGGAACTCTGTGCCACCACTTTCCAAAGAGGAAATTTACTCATTAATCCCATCCGTAGGCTTTGCATAGCAGTCTGTCAAAATTATTTTTTGAGAAATACTGAAAGTTTCAAAGAGATCTTCCCACTGTAAGTATTCTAAAATGTGAAGAATACAACCCCTGGGGTATAAAATGACCCCAGGCATACGGATAGGGTTAAGAGTGCTCAAGTGACATTTTTCTCTCTCTATGTTAAAGTTAAGTTTAATTCAATTAATAACTAATTTTTTTTAAAATGTCATGCTTCCTTGAGTGAAAGATAATGAGCTAAAGAAGTATTCCCAAATTTTACCTGATTTTCTATTTTAATGTGTTTTTACCGTTGGCCCCTCTTAAAACAGTAACAGTCGAAATAATAAAAGGAATCTGGCTATATAATAGACTCATAGTAAACCTTCAAGTCTGATCTCTCACAATGTATAGCAAAAGAAATCTTTTATAGCAGGCCTCAACACAGACAGGCTTCTATAACACTGATCCAACCATCGTCCAACCATTGACAAAATCCTATAACATACAGACAAGAAAGCTGAATAAAAGCAAATGAAGCAAAACAATTATATCTGACATGGCAAATTGCACCTACATGACCTATAATCTTATGAATCTTATGATGTGTCATGTATGATACAGTAGGTGGAAGAGAGAAAGGGAGGGAGAAGAGCTTTGGTGTTTATGCAAATGATCCCATCAGTGACCTAATGATCTAGCATGACCTTGATCTGGCACCACATACATGTGATCACATTGTCTCCCTGTTGTGGGGTGTCTAGACTTGCAACAGGAATACATGATTAAATCAAAAGTAGGCACTGGGTGGGCGTTAGAAACCATTACTTCACACAATGTACATAATTAAGGAGGTGGGCTTCCGACCCTGCCTGTCAGGGCTAACTCAGGAGAAGAGGGCTACAACATCCCAGCAGAATGACCAAGATACTCAATAAAAATTTCTCCCCACTCAGGAATCAAATTTAGGTCTCCTTCATGCCACAGTAAGGCACCTAACGGCGGCTACACCACAGGCGCTGGTCTGAGGATCTGTGAGCGCGGAGTTATTTGATCACTACGAAGAGTAAAGTGCAGGGAACATGGATTTGCACTAGATTCAACAAGGTCGCCAGGCCTGATCTAAAATCTCGCTGAATCCGAGGGTTTGTTATAGCAAACAGGAGGTTTAGTGTAGATAATTACAGGCACTGAGCAAGTAATTTATAAAGAGAAGTCACAAGTAGTGCCTGAAATGCCTGCATATTATGAGCTGTGTAAAAAAAAAGACTGATTCATTCAAATGCACACACCTGTGTCATCTCGATTGTGTACCAAAATGTTGTGTTGCTGTGTAGAGCCTATCCTAGCATACGGCAACTTTTGATTCCATAGACCAGCGCACAATTCATTACGTAGATCTACGTCAAGACTAGGACTAGATTATCATTGTAATAATGATCAGTTGCTGAGGGGAAAAAAAAGGCTGTGACACGTTTGTATGTGCGACGTTTAACGCCCGGGCCGCTGGTGCCACCCCCCCTCCCCCGACACGCACACACAGCCACACGTGTGCAGGCTGCCCATCCGACCCCGACACACGCCAGAGTAGACACGTGTGCGTGCCAACAACGCACGGGTTGGTATGAAAACAAGGCCATTTATTGGTCGCGTGCAATGGATGATGGTTTCCGGGAATAGATAAAGTTCGTTCTGGGCGAAAAATGAGCGAAGCCACGTCTGCAGGGGCTGCTCACCCTGGAAGCGACCTCGTTGAATCCGAGCTCACTGATTTAAGTGCTCGTTGAATCCGGGTTATTTTTATTGATTATAAAGAAGAAGAAAAATGAGGAATCTATCTCATCTCGTTGAATCCGAGTTCCACTGTATATAAATATATGCAATTTCAAATATTGTTATTATTATCTGTCCCACTCAAATGATGTCCAGTCAACCCCTGTGAGACTAAAATACTCGAGAAAAAAAAAGGATAAGGAGAATAATATATAGGCCTACCACCAGAAAAGAAAGGAGGAATAATAGATATACAATGGAACACGGATTCAACGAGCTCAGATTCAACGAGATGAGACAGATTCCCCATCTTTTTCCTTTAAAATCAATAAAAATAACCCGGACTCAACGTGCACTTAAATCAGCAAGCACGGATTCAACGAGGTCTCTCCCAGGGTGAACAGCCCCCGCAGACGTGGCTTCGCTCATTTTTCTCCCAGAACGAACTTGATCTATTCCCGGCAACCATCCATTGCACCTGCACCGTGAACCATTATTATTCATCTAGCCGATTGCATGCGACCAATCAGCGGCCTTTTTTCATACGAACACAGGCGTTGTTGGCACACGTACGTGTCTACTCTTGCATGTGTTGGGGTCGGAGAGGCGGCGTGCACACGTAGGGCTGTGAGTGCGTGTCGGGGGGGTGGGGGGTGGGCACTAGTGGTCCGAGCGTTGAACGTCGCAGATACAAATGCGTCACAGCCTTTTTTTTCCCTCGGCAACTGATCATTATTACAATAATATAAG